GGGAAAAGATTTTCCAATCAAATAGAAATAAGAAGCAAGCAGGCATAGCTATCCTAATATCTAACAAGTTAGACTTCAAACCAAAATTAATCAAAAGAGATGAAGATGGTCATTTCATATTCATCACAGGAGAAATCCATCACCACAAAGTCTCAGTTCTGAACATTTATGCCCCTAATACAAAAGTACCCACATTCATAAAAGAAACACAACTAAAACTCAAACCTCACATAAAACCTCACACACTTATAATGGGAGACTTCAACACACCATTCTCACCATTATAAAGGACCATAAATCAGAAACTCAACAAAGAAACAAAAGAACTAACAGAAGTTATGTCTCAACTGGGGTTAACAGACATCTATAGAATATTCCATCCAAGCAAAAAGGAACACAACTTCTTCTGTGTTCCACATGGAACCTTCTCTAAAATCAACCACATACTAGGTTGCATAACAAACCTCAACAGATACAAGAGAATAGGCATAGTCCCCTGTGTCTTATTGGACCATCATGCTTTAATATTGGAATTCAACAACAAAACAAATAGCAGAAAACCTGCAAACCCATGGAAACTGAACAATGTGCAATTGCACCACTCCTGGGTCAAAGAAGAAATAAAGAAAGAAATTAAGGTCTTTCTAATATTCAACGAGAATGAGGATACAACATACCCGAACTTATGGGTCACCTTGAAAGCAGTGCTACGTGGGAAGTTCATTGCACTAAGTGCCCATATGAAGAAAACAGAGGACAGTCACATAAGAGAATTAATAGCACAACTGAAAGCCTTAGAACAGAGAGAAGCGAACTCACCCTGTAGGAGTAGACACCAGGAAATAATCAACTTGAGGGCTGAAATCAACAAAATAGAAACCAGGAAAACAATAAAAAAAAAAAAGTCAATGCAACGAAGAGTTGGTTTTTTGAGAAAATCAACAAGATAGACACACCTTTATCCAAATTAACAAAAAAGCAGAGAGAGAATATGCAAATTAACACAATCAGAAATGAAAAGGGGAACATAACAATGGACACAGAGGAAATCCAGACAATTTTCAGGTCATACTTTGAAAATCTGTATTCCACAAAAATTGAAAATTCAAAGGAAATGGACAAATTTCTAGATAACTATCACTTACCAAAATTAAATCAAGAACAGACAAACAACTTAAATAGACCTATAACCCGCAATGAAATAGAAGCAGTCATCAAAAGCCTTCCAACCAAAAAAAGTCCAGGGCCAGATGGATTCAGTGCAGAATTCTACCAGACATTCAAGGAAGAGCTAATACCAATACTCCTTAAATTGTTCCACACAATAGAAACAGAAGGTTCATTACCAAACTCTTTCTACGAGGCCACAATAAACTTGGTACCCAAGCCTCACAAAGACACAACTAAGAAAGAATACTACAGACCAATATCCCTGATGAACATCGATGCAAAAATACTCAATAAAATACTGGCAAACCGAATTCAAGAATACATCAGAGAAATCATCCACCATGACCAAGTAGGCTTCATCCCTGAAATGCAGGGATGGTTTAACATATGAAAATCTATCAACGTGATCCACCATATAAACAAACAGAAAAAGAAAAACAATATGATTATTTCCCTAGATGCTGAAAAAGCCTTCGACAAAATTCAACACCCTTTCATGATAAAGGTCTTGAAGAGGTCAGGGATAACAGGAACATACCTAAACATAATAAGAGCAATATACAGCAAACCAACAGCCAACATCAAACTGAATGGAGAGAAACTTAAGCCAATTCCTCTAAAATCAGGAACAAGACAAGGCTGCCCACTCTCTACATATCTCTTCAATATTATACTGGAAGTTCTAGCTAAAGCTATAAGACAACAAAAGGAGATCAAGGGCATCCAAATTGGAAAGGAAGAAGTCAAACTGTCTCTATTTGCAGATGATATGATAGTTTACATAAGCGACCCAATAAACTCTACCAGGGAACTCCTACAGCTGATAAACACCTTCAGCAAACTAGCAGTATACAAGATAAACTCAAAAAAATCATTAGCCCTATTTTTTTCAGACTACCAAGAGACAGAGAAAAATCAGAGAAACATCACCCTTTACAATAGCCACAAGCAACATAAAGTATCTTGGTGTAATGCTTACCAAACAAGTAAAAGACCTATATAACAAGAACTTTGTGGCTCTAAAGAAAGAAATTAAAGAAGATAGCAGAAAATGGAAAGATCTCCTATGCTCTTGGATAGGTAGGATAAACACAGTAAAAATGGCAATCTTGCCAAAAGCAATCTACGGATTCAATGCAATCCCCATTAAAATCCCACCAAAATTCTTCACTTTATATGGAAAAACAAAAGACCCGGGATAGCCAAAACAACCCTATGCAATAAAAGAACTTCAGGAGGCATCATCATTCCTGACTTTAAGCTCTATTATAGAGCTATAGTTCTGAAAACAGCCTGGTATTGGCATAAAAATAGATAGGTAGACCAATGGAATTGAATTTAAAATCCTGATATTAACCCACACACCTATGAACACCTGATTTTTGACAAAACAGCTAAAATTGTACAATGGGGTGAAGACAGCATCTTCAACAAATGGTGCTGGCTCTATTGGATGAGGGTGTGTAGAAGACTGCAGATAGACCCATGTCTATTGCCATGCACAAAACTCAAGACCAAATGGATCAACGATCTCAACATCAATCCAGCCACATTGAATCTCTTAGAAGAGAAAGTAGGAGGTACCCTTGAACAAATTGGTATAGGAGACCGCTTCCTGAATATAACTCCAGTGGCACAGACACTGAGAGCAACAATTAATATATGGGACCTCTTCAAACTTAGAAGCTTCTGTAAGGCAAAGGACAGAGTGGACAAGACCAAATGGCAGCCCTCAGACTGGGAAAAGATTTTCACCAAAGGGCTGATCTCCAAAATATACAAAGAACTCAAGAAACTAGTCAACACAACACCAAATAACCCTATTAAAAAATGGGGTACAGAACTGAAGAAAGAATTCTCAATAGAGGAAATCAAAAAGGCTGAAAGACACTTAAGAAAGTGCTCCACATCCTTAGCTATCAGGGAAATGCAAATCAAAACAACTTTGAGATACCATCTTACTCCTGCCAGAATGGCTAAAATTAGAAACACCAATGATGACTCATGTTGGAGAGGATGTGGAGAAAGGGGAACACTCCTCCACTGCTGGTGGGAGTGCAAACTCATACAGCCATTTTGGAGATCAGTATGGCAGTTCCTCAGGAAAATGGGAATTAGTTTACCACAGGACCCAGCAATCCCCCTCTTAGGCATATACCCAAAGGATTCACATCCATGCAACAAAGACATCTGTTCAACTATGTTCATAGCAGCACTATTTGTAATAGCAAGAACCTGGAAGCAACCTAGAAGCCCCTCAATTGAAGAATGGTTAATGAAGATGTGGCACATCTACACAATGGAATACTACTCTGAAGGAAAAAAAAAATAATGGAATCTTGAAATTTGCAGGCAAGTTGATGGCACTTGAAGAAACCATCCTGAATGAGGTAGCCCAGTCACAAGAAGAGGAACACAGTATGTACTCACTCATATATGGATTTTAGACCTAGATCAAAGGATCACCAGCCTATAATTCACACCACTAGAGGAACTAGGATACAAGGAGTATTCTAAGAGATTCATATAAAGTCCCTCACAGAACCGGGTAGGGAAAGTCCCCCAGAGCTCAAGGGAAGTGGGGGGCAGTGAATGGAGAGAGAAATAGGAGAAAACGAGGGGGACAAAGGAAAACATGTGCGACCAGGAAGATTGAGCCTGGTTAGGAATAGCTGACAGGAGAGAGAGAGAGAGAGATAGAACATAAAAGAGGGAGCCAATATTGGTTTGAAGATAAAATTGAACACAAAGAAAGGTCTAGAGAACTACAAGACTGCTCCCAACTAACAATGTGAGCTTCCATGTAAATGCTACCATAAATGCCCTTCCGGGATAGTGAGATCAACATCTAATTTATCCATGGAGCCCTCAACTAATGCCTGTTGGAAACAAGATCAAACACCCATACATAAACACTGAGTCAAAGTAGAACCCAGGTGCAGATAAAGAGGACAAAACCAGGTTGCAGAAACACATAGAGACAGCTTACCTGAACAAGGAGGCATTAACGGGCCAACAGACTGATAGCTGGGAAGCCAGCATGGGACTGACTCAGGCCCCCCTGAATATGGGTCTCAGCCAGAAGGACTGAGCAGTCTAAGGCACCTCAGACATTGGAGCCAGGATGTATCCCTGGTGCCCAAAAAGACTTTGCAAACACTTTTCCCATGGAGGGTCAACTGCCTTAATCTAGAGACAGGAGAGAAGTCCTAGTTCCTACTTCACATGACCTGTCAGATCTACATGATCCCAACTGGATGGCATTCCCCTACATATGGAATTGGGATAGGGGATGGGAGGGGAGGGTGTTTAGAGTGCATGTGAGAGGGCAGAGAGGGTAAAAGGATGGGAAGGAGGGAGGGAGGAATAGAGGGAGGGAGAGGGAACTGGGATCGACATGTAAAATAATAAATTAAATTAAAAAAAAATGCTTTGACTCCAAAATTTAAGTGCAAGGACAAGTTACTAGGGAAAAGGATTTCTATTTTTGTTTCCACAGAAAATGATAAGATGTGGATTCCTTCTAGACTAATGTGGTTTGATCACGCCAGACCGCCTGAAACAGAGTACCAGGTGATCCTACATTCAAAACAGCTGGACAAAGCAGCCTTACAGACTATAGCCAGGATTTCTGAATCTTTTTCGAATCCCCCATGATAGTGCCCCTTACCATCAGGAAGTAGTATGGAAAGAATGACACCCAAACTCCCAAATATTGTCTATAAATATTTGTTTTCATTTAAATGGACTTGTTTATATAAAAAAAAACACAAACTTGACATTGTATGTAACACTCAGAGTATGTGGTCAAGTATTAACTCATATGTTACCTTTATATCCTTGTTCTGTCTCTCTGAGATCAATTTTGGTTATTGGTTTGAAATCAGTGTCCCATAATCGTATACAGCCATCTCGCCCACCAGTAGCAAAGCCCTCTTCACAAGCATACATGCTAAAGATTCCAGCCTGTTGAGTAGAAGAGGCAACACTCAATTCTGCAGTTGCTATAAATGTCACCACTGCTAAATCTTGATGATTAAAAACAGCAGAACAAAACAAATAGAAGCAGATACTGTATTTTCTGTTGAAATCTGACAGCAGATCAACACACTTCACTTTTGCTAGATCACTGTAATTATATCCACCACCAGGAGGCAAAGTAATTCCATTAACACATCTAATTTGATAAAATTATTACCCCTCTTGCCCAAAATGTCATTTATGACTACCTTGGTTATATTAGATACACAATCAAATTCCTGTATGTGACAACCAGGCCTTCTAAAACAAAGATATTACAAAGTTGCCTCACTTAAGTTCTACACAAATCCAGTAAAGACACAGACTAGGGGCACACACCTTTTCCAAGTGTAGTGATGCCTGAGATGCCATCTCAACTGTTCAGGAAGGTGCTTATGACAAACAGAATAGCATGAATATCATTGTGTCAACATATTGTGTGTACTATGGGATGACTTGCTTTTCATGTCTAAAGTACTTTGAATCCTTAAGCTTGGAAACTATTTTACACGATTTATTCAAAACTATTATAACTCCATTATGTTGACAAAAGACCCAGTGTAAAGAGAAATTGATTTCTGAGTCAGCTCATTTAATGAATGTAAACAAATTCTGATCTCTTCATTGTTTTAAGAGATGTTTCGTAATGAACCAAGAAAAATAGTTTTAACCTTAGAAGAGAAGGAAGACTCTAAGTATCCAAACTATTTTGCGGAGTTCTCTGAAGTGTTCTTCATAAGAGTAATGAGGTCTGGGCATGCAGATTAATGATAGAGGATTTGCCTAGTATGTAAGGCTCTGGGCTCAATCCACAGCACTAAAAACAATGAAGTAATGGGGAATCAATTCAGAGGCACTGAGATAAAGCATTCTTTATCTTATTCTCTTGTGCCAGGTGGGTGATGGGAACTGCACCCAGGTCTGTGGGAACAGTAAGTGCTCTAACCACTGAGCAATCTCTCTAGTCATTATATTTATCTTAAACAAAAATACACAACTTGACATTATATGCAGTGCTTGCAGAGAATATGGTAAATATTGCTATCAGCTTTTCCCGCTGACATCTGTTTTATATTTCCATTGTGTCACTTGCAGATATCATTTTCCTTTGTGTCAAAAGACAGCAAAGAGCTAAGAAGCAATGTCTGCCATGTATTCACAGAGCATGGAGAGAAAGGTCATTAGTGGCATCTGTTTCTCTGAAGACTACAACACTGACAGAGTTCATGCTCTAGCATTTCAACAGAGCAAGGACATTCTCCCTCATGTCCTATCACAAAACAGCAGCTGTTCACACCCTATCTATTCCAGCTACTGGCCACAAAGTGGAGGCAACAGTGAGAATCAGCCAGGACCCAGTGAAGAAAGCTGTGAGGTTAACAAGATTTCAAGACACTTGCAGGCAGGCTGAAATTTAGGAAGTGATGACATGTTCTAGTCTTGTATCAACTATTACTGAAGCTAATCAGCCAATTAATAGTTATGGAGAAGCCTGATTTCTTATGTTTTTCTTTAAGGTAACAAAAGTAACTTGAGAAATCTTCATGAGTGTTTACAACTGTTTGGTGAAGTCTTCTAACTGTAAAGCAAAAGGCAGAAACACGGAGGAGAGTGGTCTTAACTTATTCAATACATTATCCTGAACCCCCACATGATAATACTCACACTATGTGCTCCTTGAACAGTTCGGACCAAGGTGAGCCCCTTCCAGACGTAGATGTCACCGTTTAAAGCACCAGAGTATGTGATGTCTTCTTTGGCACATGCAAGGCAAAGGATAGTCTGGAGATCTCCTGTTTTGCCAAATATCCCTCTTTTTGCAGTCAGGGCATTTCCACATAGTGTCCAAAACTAGGAAGTAATACAAAATATATTCCAAAATAGAGTACAATATCCCATCATCCATATTTTTCAGTAATTTTACAGAATATATTTTATCTGAACTAAGCATAAACAAATCGTTTCTTAGTGATAGTGTACAACCACAAACCATGTCTGCATACATCTAGAAGCATGAAAAAACCCACAATGATATCTTTAAACTTTAAAAGCTAAAAAATTTCAAAACTTTAATGTTTAGTGACATTATGGAAGATGACTCCAATGTACACAGAATGGAATTAGGGAAGTCACACTTTTGTTTAATCTTTTGTCAAATGAGTATAGATTCACTGTAGAAATATAGATAAGTATAAGAAGGAAGCCAAGTATGGCAGCACACACTTGTAATCTTAGCACTTGGGAGGCAGAGGCAGGAGGACCATTGCATGTTGGAGGCTAGCCAAGTCTACATAGCAACTTCTAGGCTAGCCAGAGCTACGTAACAATATTCTGCCTCAAAAAAATGTAATGTGTATGTGTGCATACATTAATGAATTACATAAAGAAAAATTGAAATTAAGAATAACTTCATGTTAGTATAACAAATCATCTAGCCATTTTTGTTTTTTGAGGGTTTCTCTGTGTAGCTTTTCCTGTTCTGGAACTCCCTCCATAGACCAGGCTAGCCTCAAACTCATAGAGATCCAATCCAACTGCCACTGCCTCTTGATTAAAGGCATGTACAGCCACTGCCTAGCATTCATCTAGTCATTTTAAAATATATATGTATATTTTTAAAATTGTTTTGTAGGCTGCTTGGTGGAGTTGGCTAGAACATGGTGGCAATAAAAACAATTGTTTTCTAACCAAAGTGTTACACTTTTTTTAACTGTAAAATTGTTCACAAATACTTCTAAATACAAGTGATATGTCCATAAAGTCAAATAATCACCCATTTTATTTTCACAGATCATATGGAAAATGGCAAGCATAACACTTGAATGATTTGTAGATAATAGCAGGGTCATGTCCATGGCTACAGAAATCCAGTATTTTTCCTTGATACAATTTCTTTCTTTTTTATTTTATTTTTTAGGTTTTATTTTGTACTATAGTTGTGAATACTTGATAAATCTAGTAATAATATACATAAAATGACCATTGGTTAGGATACCGACTGAAATTTCTTCAACCTTCTCAAATATTTCTGATAATGTAATGTATGAAAGAAAAGGATTGTTTTGCCTCTCTGACTCAGAGATTCCAGTTCATGTCTGATTGCCCCTTTTGTTCTGAGTCTGTGGTGCAATATCTTGAGGTGAATACACAGATCCACTCAGCTCTGTGCAAGGCACTCCTAAGGGGAGGCAGTAGAAGAATGAATGTAGCCTGATAACTTTGAGGATATGCCCGCAGTGATCAGAAGATGCTAAACTTCATCTTTAAAATTGTCACCACCTTCCACATATGCTAATCTCCATACTAAGCCTTTAACACATTTGTCTGTGGGAGACACCTCAGATCCAAACTACAGCAGAAATGCCACAGTTTTAATGACCAATATAAACAAGAGGTTTATACTGAGTTATTGAGACAGCATGGGGGTAAAAAAAATTACTTACAAAACTCACAACCTATGTTAGATGTCAGGGACCCACATGGTGAAAATTGAGAACTGATTCTTGCAAGCAGTCCTCTGACCACAAATGTGCCATGGCATGTGCTATCTTCACATACAATGACAAAGAACAAAAATAAAATGTCAAGTTGAAAACTGGATTTTTGCAATGCTTTAATATTTTAAGATTTATTATTTTCTAAAGAGTTATACTTTCAAATAAATTTGCATGAAATCATATATTTTAATAAGTTAAAACCTAGGTTGTTAATAAATTACTACAATTTAAAAAAACTATCTCTTTTCAGGTCTTTGTGAATGACACAATTACAAAGTTTTTGTATTTTTTTTTCTATTTTTATTTCCCTTCCTCTCTCCCTCACTTCTTCCCTCCCTCCTTCTCTCCCTCCCTACATCCCTCCTTGTCTCCCTTCTTCCCTCCTTCCCTCCCTCTTTCCCTCTCTCCCCACATCACATGTACCCCAACCATCCTCCCCTCCCACCACCACCCCACTCCACATGTAGGGTGATGCTATCCAGGAGGGGTAATCTAAATCTGTCAAGTCATTTGGAGTAGGGACTAGGACTTCTCTCCTGTCTCTAGGTTAAGGCAGTATCCCTCCATGGAGGATGTGTCTGCAAGGTCCTTTTGTGTACCAGGAATCTTGGTTCCACTGTCAGAGGTCCCTTAGACTGCTCAGTCCTTCTGGCTGAGACCCATTTCAGGGGGTCTGAGTCAGTCCCATGCTGGATTCCCAGCTATCAGTCTGGGGGCCCATTAGCTCCTCCTTGTTCAGGTTAGCTATGTGTTTCTGCAACCTGGTCTTGTCCTCCCTCTCTGCATCTGGATTCCAGTTTGGCTCAGTGTTTAGTTGTGGGTGTTTGCTTCTGCCTTGATAAAATTTCTAATGTATGAACTGGTATAACTTTGGTGCCACTACATAGCCCTCACAGTCTCCAAAAGCTTTCCAAATCTGTTTTTTAATCTCCTAACACACTTGAGCATAGGTTATGACAGACTCTGTTACTGTTTCCATATGGAAGGCAGGCAGAAGTACTTTGCTAAAGACATGGATTCTATAAAGTTTATACACTAGAAACCACTGAAACCTTGATTACTGTTTGCAGAACTCCACACTAAGAAAGAGGGCATGTGAAACAACAAGTAAGGATTTTGTGGCAGCACATCAGATTATACTCAAGAGGCAGGGCCAATGTGAAGCCACAGGAACCAAATTACATTACATGGAATGAACAAGAATAGGATTTGGATTCATGGTGGGCAAGAAATTGTATATTACCCAGAAGAGCAAGATTAGATGACTAGGAATACTAGGAATGCATAAAGGGAAAATTCTATTATTTTGTGCCTGCAGGAGAAGAAAAACAGTGGCCCTCTCAGAGTATAGTAGCTAGGTACTGGCAGATACAGTTCTGGATCGACTGAATCAACATGATGGTGGTGGGAAGGGACTTGGGCAGAAAGATCATGGCAAAGATGAGAGCATGTGTTCAACTATTTGAAATATCCTCAGATGAGCAAAGTGTGGTGTTTTCTCTGGACAGTATTTTTGTAAAAAGATATTGAAGTAGGCACAAAAATAATGAAGAAATTTGGGGAAAAAGCTAATTAGATGCAAGACTTGGGAAATACCAATGTCTTAAATGTGACCTTGAACACACCATTAGACACAAATGATCAATGGATGAAGAAACATGCCAAAGAACTTACATCCATGGTGACACTCAGGCAGACATTCCCTCATTGTGGTTTCTTATGTGTGAAGATTGATTAGAAAGTAACTATTTTGTCTTTTGACTTGAGACATGTACTTGTGGCCTGAGTTAAATGTTTCTACATGACAACTACCAAAAATATAGGTCATTATCCTGAGACTGTGTGAACAAATATTTTTCTGACAAAAATCACCTAATCAGAAGGTTCTAACACCTACATAAAACATTTCAAGTCATCAAATGAGTCTCTTAAAAAGCACATATAAATGCCAAGGGAAGTGGGAGACTTTTTGGGGATAAAAGGAGAATACTTAATATATTTTCTTTTCATGAGAATCACTTCATCCAGCAAACAGCAGTATTTTGGACTAAGCATGCACCATTAAGTGAATAGACATCATTTATCTTCTCCAGTTTCCACTGGCAGATTGTAATACAAATCTGGTTAGAACAAGCAAGTACTTTGGAGTTTACCTGGTCTTAGAGAGTCTCCCAAGTTCTTTCCTTCTATGATGAGAGACTGTAGGCTTATTTGTTGTGTAATTAATGAGCAGACACTGCTTAACTGTTGTTGTTTATAAGCACTCATTTAAGATGACCATATTTGCCAACTTGTCCAACAGTGAACCTTACAAAACTTGGCATGATTTTACTCTGGTTACAGAATTTTCACATCAAAGGTTTTGTTGAAATACAGCCTTTTACTCTCAACTTCTTTTTTAATTTTTAATTTTTACTTACTTAGTTAAATAATTTTTTCCAAAACTGATCATAGTTTCTTCTCCCCACCTCTTCTCTCTATCCCTATCCCCAGCCACACCCCTCATCACAACCCTTCCACTCCTCTTCCTTTCTCTTCAGAAAAGGACAAGCCTTGCATGGATAACAACCAAACATGGCATATCAAGTTTCAGTAAGACTAGGCACCTTACCTCCTATTAAGGCTGGGCAAGGCAACCCAATAGGAGGAAAGGGTCAGAAAGCAGGCAACAGAGTCAGAAACAGCCCCTGCTCTTACTGTTAGGAGTTCCACAAGAAGACCAAGCTACACAACTGTAATACATGTTCAGAGGTCCCAGGTCAGTCCCATGCAAGCTCTCCATGAGCCTCTATGAGCCCAGATCAGTTGATTCTGTGAGTTTTTCTGTGGTGTCCTTAGCCCCTCTGGTTCCCAGAATCCTTCCCCCTGTCTTCCACAGGAATTCAAAGGGTCTACCTAATGTTTGACAGTAGGTCTCTGTATCTGTTTTAATCAGTTGCTGGGTGAAACCTCTCTGATGACAATTGAGCAAGAACTCAAGAAACTAGACATCAGCCAACCAAATATCCCAATTAAAAATGTGGTACAAATCTAAGCAGAATTCTCAATATAGGAATCTCAAATGGCCAAGGAACACTTAAATACTCAACATCCTTAGTCATCAGGGAAATGCAAATCAAAAGAACTCTGAGATACCATCTTACACCTGTCAGAATGGCTAAAATCAGAAACACGAATGAAAGCTTATGCTGGAGAGGACATGGAGTAAAGGGAACAATCCTCCATTGCTGGTGGGAATGCAAACTTGTACAGTCACTTTGGAAATCAGTTTGGTGGTTTCTTAGGAAAATGGAAATTGATCTACTGCAGGACCTAGCAATTCCACTCTTGGGCATATACCCAAAGCATGCACAT